GCCCTCGGGCCGCGGAGGGCGCGGTGCAGCGCGGCTCCCGCGAAGGGCTCTGAGTCCCGGGGGAGGCGGACGGCTGCAGCCGGGATGCCCGGGCAGCCCCGGGGCGCTGCGGGCAGGCCGAGACACGTGCGGGGTTTGCCTGCGCGGGAGCTGGTCGCGGGTGAGAGGGGGGAAGGGTTTAGGACTAGAAATAGACCTGAAGCGCTGGGAAGTAGCGAGCTGTTTGAGTCTTGTAGCATCTTGTCTGTATGGGAGGTGTTAATGGTTTTGTGATTGTTTACGGTCTGTGTACGCAAACATCTGGGATGCTCGTTATCATCTTGTGAAACTTCGTGTTTCCAGCTTCCTTGGGCTGCTGAATCCTGTGTGATCCTTGTGTTGGAAGCGATGTTTGAGTGACCCGTGTTGCGTAATAGCAGATTATGAGATACACGCACCAAGCCTCTGTTTTTTCACTGTAAGATTAGTTAGAGAAACTAACTAACACTTGCAACATTTTTGAGCTTTTTTTTTTTTTTTTGTGCGAGGTGTAAAGCTGACTTACAGAGTTCTTTGTGGATATTGTGAAAAGAAAATATCTATCTTTACGTATAGTGGTCAGGAAAACTGTAGCAATGTTTTTTTGTCTTCACTATCAGACGGTGGTCGTTCCAAAGTCCGGAGCACTTCCAGCCTTATGCAAATGAACGCAGAAAGAAAACGGTCAGTGTCAATGCATGCAGTGGTGATTGCCAGAATCTGCTTGGCTGTTTAAGAAATAATTAAAGCATCTAACCAAAAGGTATCAGTTTTGAGATGAGCTGCATCGCAAAAGAATTTTGTATTAAATTTATTGCAGTGCTTGGTAGATGCTTGCCAATGAATGTATTTCAGTCATAAAAAATAATTAGTATGTTCTGTGGAAGAATCATGAAGGACTCTGCATAACCAGGGTTGCAATGGATAGTTAAAAAGTGTAGCATCTGTAGTACTGGAAATGCTATGCTTTATTTTCACAATAAATTGTATTTTGGTATAGTATCTGTAATTTTTAAAAGACACTATATTTCCTCTTTCACATGACTGCTTTGTCTCTTGTTGCTGCATGTGTTACTTTCAAATAATTTGTTCTTGCAGTCCTAATTTTATATTGAACTCCGGCTATATAGTTGGCTTTTTTTATTTTTGACATTTAAAAAAAAATAGGATTAAAACTGCTGTTTCTCATTTAGAGAAATTTTAAGTGAATATTATTATGAGGATTTTTGACACGTCAGTGATAATCTCATTGAAACAATATCTGAGTTGTTTTTATCTCTTGCCTTTTGCTTTTTTTTAATCAAATACGGCTCTGAAAGAACTCTTAATTTTCTCACTCTATGCTTCCTTTTCAAGGAGATTACTAGGTGGTGTTGGCGTTGGGTGCAGAAAGTTCAGCTGGCTGCCTTGCCTAATCTGTAGCTGGGTTGCAGAAAACCTCGGTGAAGGCTGGTGGGTGTCAGGGCCCTGCTCTAACCCTGCTGAGCACTCGCGGCTGGGTTTTCACCAGCTGCTTCACCTCTCACATCCCTCCAGTCTTGGAGGAAGAGGGATGTGACATAGACCTCTTCTTCACAAGAGAAGGAAAACTGATATTGCTCCCTTTTAAATTGTGTTAGAAAATTGTACTGCTGTAAAACTTTACATAAAGTCAATTTCTGTGTTGTGTTTTGTTTTGTTTTTTTTTCTCTGTTACTCTTTTGTCTTCAGTGTGGAATGTTATAGTTTCTTTGGAAAACATTTCTTATGAAACAACTAATGGAAAAACGTGGTGTGTGTTCTTGTTAACTTGTGTTGCTTCCGCACTTTACTTTTTGCAAAACTTGGTGTTTCTTTTCTTCTGAGACCTGTAGAAAACAATCCATGCAGACAAACTGCTTTTACAGTCGTGAGGTTAACCTGTACTGGTGTGAATTAAGAGTAGATGATGTAGTGTATGGATTAAGAGTACGTGTACTAGTCCTGGTGTGAATTAAGAGTGACCTTTTCGCTACAGCCTTAAAATTTCAGGGGGGAGCAGGTTCCCTGGTTTGATTATCGCATGTCCACAAAAACATTTGTTGGAGATGGAGTGAGCAAAGGGGGTGCCATTCCAGAATTATTTCAGAAGCTGTGAGCTGGTGCCAATTCAAAATGTTTGTTGGGCTGCGACACCGTTTCCACAGCAGCACTGTACAGACAGCTGTCATTCCTGTATGTTCATGCAGGCTGCCTGGCAGCAAAACTGTGTTTATTCCCATGGAGGCCACTTGCACACAATAGAAAATAGCGTAAGCAATTTAATTATCAAACCAAGTGTGGCTACTCTGTTGAAAACTACAGGAAGAGTAATATTTTTTTATTAAAACTTAAGTGTTTTTAAAAGCAGAAGCAGATAATGTCTTCATTTATTTTCTTCACTCTTAAAAGTCTTCTGAGAAAAGGTTTTTCTCTGCTCCTGCTTTAAGTTTGAATTAATGTATTTCTAATTAAATTTTGAACTGCTCTGAGTAGAAAAGAAAGAGGAGTTTGAATACAGATAGTCTCACGAATACGATGTCTTTGAGCTGAAGAAATTGGGAAGTTGTAGAATTGGTAATTAGCTGCTTCTTGTGAGTCGGAATTTGCTTGAGACTTAAAACATACTCCGTATTTTTTCCACCGTTAGCACAACATTTTTATTGCTAGCGTAGTTAAAAGTTGGAGCAGAGACAAGGAAGAGTGTAAAATGCACTGCACGCTGTTTGTTCTTGTGAGCTGGAAGATGGAATGTTTGTGTGTCATCCAAGAGAAACAGCCTGCCAACCACTGCCACGTTTTCATCTGTTGGTAAACACCAGCTGCTGGTTGGTCTTAAGGGAGGAAGGCTGAATTAGTTCCAGATGGAGAGCTCTTTTAGCCCATTTCAGACTTTCCAGTTGATTTAAGACAGCAGGTCAGTAATTTAGGGGAGTAGTTTTGATCATCTTTGCTCTTCTGCTCCCTGCCATGTGTGGAATCAGTGATATCAATTACGATATCGCGGTGCTGCTGAGGGTGGGAGTTTTGCTGTGCTTAATTGTTTTTGGTTTTAATCGAGTAGTATAAACAGGAAAAGTATTAACAAAGTTGTGATAACTAACCGTGTTGAATGTAGAGGGGTATATATTTTTAAGACCTGAAAATGGAGGAGTCAAGAATCCATTTTTCTTAACAAATTCTCTGAAAGAATGCGTATCTTCTGTCAAAGTTTTGTCGTAAACTGGGTTAAAACAATTACATGGTTTAATGTGAGTGTGTCAGAGGGTCTCGTACCTCGGTGTGCTGCTAGTATGATTTCCTGGTAAAGTGGGTAAGAGATAAGGGGATAGGGATGGAAATCTTCCATGCAGAGCTGTAACAACAGAAACAGAGAACATGAGGAATGGAAAATTTCAGTGTAAAGTAGCTGCTGTTTAGGATATTGAAACTGATGCAATATATTTAACTCTTTAGTACCTCTTTGTGATTTATTTTGAGATGCCACGTTGGACATGAAAAAAGCGTGAAGAAAATAGTGTATCCTGCTCACATGCTAACAAAATCAGGGCAGGTGCAGTAGCTCCTAGTACAACTCTTGTATTTTTGCTTGCACATTTCTTGTGCTGCCATTGTCTGGTGCATTCTAGTATTATGGTCTCGTTTCAGGCAGTTTTTTCAGGGTGTCCAGTGATTAACTTCCCCCACAAGAACTACTTTATATCTGTATAAGGTCCACCATCTCGTCTATCCAGGAAAAGTGCTTCTGGATAGAAGTATTTAAAATGTCATTTCCCCTACTGTTTGTTCACTGAGGAGCAAGAGATCCTCTCTGTCATTTCAGCCTCATCTGTTTCATCCTATTTTCCTTTGCTTACAAAACAGACTGCAAAATAGAAAGCAATAAATCTGATAGTGGGTTTGAATGTTGCAGGTAAGCTGCTCAGGTGCTCGCTCTTTATTTCGTAAGAGAGACTTGGAATCTGTGAGCATTACAGTGCTAACTAACATTACAAGACTTGAAAATAATAAAGGTCACAGTGCTTTTGTTATTCTCTGTACTCTTCTACTGTAACTTGCCACATTTCATGTCATTTGTTAAAGGAGAAAGCTCTAGTTGCGAATGATTTGATACCTTTTTCTGTCAGATCTTTCAAAAAGGCGTTAAGAATTATCACAATATTGAATTGCAAGCTGTAACAATACTGTGTGGCAAAATAAATAATGTTGCATAATTTACAAGTAATTAAATAGAGAACAAGTCTGTTTGGAAACCTAGTGGACATATTTTCCTACTTTGTTCTCCTAGATCTCTCATTTACCAGGATAACTGTGTTTATAATTACTGGAAGTTACAGTCCTTGATTATTGATTGCTCACTTTGACTCGAGTTGATTACAGGTTAATTAGTACTAAGGGTACAGGCTCCTCCTCCTATTTTCTGGGTCATGATGATTTTTCTGTTAAGTGGTTATAAGAAGACCTTAGAGATCAAATAAAGTCTTGGAGAGCAATTAATTATAATTGTAAAGGCAGTGTTGACATGCTTTAGAGGAGAAAGAACTTAAAACCACATTAAGTCTTTTGTGTGTGTGCATGCTATTTTACAATAAAAAGATCTCCCTTAGATATGTTCTTAGTGCTTCATCTGGGTATGTTGATATTTAGAGTGCAAAATCCAGTCTGAAAGACAAGCTACAGAAGTCTTTATCTTTCATAAACTGAAATGGGTGAAATGTGGTCTCTGCCGCATTAGGGATTTAAAATGTCATGTTCAGAGCTACATGATTTTTTCCTTCTCTCTTTTTTTTTTCTCCATTCTTAGGCAGGAAAAATAGAATACACCACATGAAGAAGCATGTGAAGCTTATTTTCATGCAAGATGTTATTTGGGGGACCAAGTACACTCTTCCAGGCCATGGGAGATGAAAGACTAATCGCATGATACTTTTTCGTCGAAGTGCTGTTCTGTGCTAAGTCGATGTTGGTTTGTATTAAGGACAAATACTAATTTCCTAATGTCAGGATGTCGACTGAGACAAGTGCTCAGACACCGGAGGAACCTAATCCTGCCCCCCTTGAAGAAAAGCCAAAGGGAAAATCACTATTTCATTTGGGTTCGCTCTTTGCTAACAGGAGTGAAAAATTTGTAATTGCTAGGAGTGATAGCGTACCAGAGGAGAACGTTCTGAAAATCACTATCACGGAGACGACGGTCATTGAGTCGGACTTGGGCATCTGGAATTCTCATGCTCTCATCTACCTCACTTTGTGGTTTTTCTTCAGCTTTTGCACTCTTTTTCTTAACAAATACATTCTTTCGTTACTGGAAGGAGAGCCCAGCATGCTAGGTAACCCTTTCTTTTACACTTGAATTCCAGTAAGATATTTGGCAACGCCAGAAGTGAAAAAGACCTAGTTGGGGGATGTGGGGGTGGATCTTGGGGCTGGGAACTCATGAGTTGTGATCTCACCTGTAAAGGGGCTTTTGACACTGTCGTCTTCTCCCGTTGCTGAAAGATGGTATGAAACTTTGCTCATAGAGGAGCTGTAGGATGGTGTTTGAGAAATAAGAGCTGGAAAAAAAATGTAATTTTTTTTCTGTGTTGGAGGACAGTGTCTTTTTTTAAAAAAAAATAATAATCTTGAGTCAGTTTTTGATAGTCTCCAGAGCTGTTAAGACTTTTTTGTTTGTTTGTTTGTCTGTAGAAGTGCAAAAGTTGCCTTTGTGTGATCTCTACTATCCAATGGGTTGCTTATTCCTATATTTTTTTAAGGAGGAAACAAAGGGCACTTTATCTATGAACAAGATTTTATAGGTGTATGCCACCTTTGTTTTATTCTGCTGCTTTGCTGGTAGATGTAAAAGTAAAGGGCTTTAGTGAGAATTGATAAAATCTAGACAGCAGTTGCCATGTTTAACTGCTAAACATACTGCACCTGAGTTGGTCTACAAAATTTTCTTATGTTGCTTGATTTGTCATGTTGCCATCATCTTCTGATTTTTTTTTTCCCCTCTCATCTTTCTTTAGGTGCTGTTCAAATGCTTTCAACCACCTTCATTGGCTGTATAAAAATGTTTGTTCCATGCTGCTTGTATCAACACAAAACGCGCATCTCTTATCCACCCAATTTCATCATGATAATGCTGTTTGTTGGATTAATGAGGTAAATGGTTAAATATTTCCTAGAGATCTATCTAGTTGCTTCTTTACATTCTTCTGAACAGAAGCTGTATTTTCATGGGTCTCTTCCTTTTCTTTCTTGTTTGGAAAGCATTTAGAGTATTCACCTATCCCCTCCCCAAAAAATCACAAGATAATTTTATTTTTAGTTACTGTTGCTAAATGCTACATTCCTTTTTCCAGATGTCAGGTTTTTTGGCTAGCTTGGCTTTCCATCACATTTATTCAGCTTCTTTCAGAACATGCTTCTCTTCTTTTTCCATTTACGTTCTTCCTATTCTCTCTTGAGGCTGATGATGTTTAGTGTACTAGTATTTATTATGATGTTATTTCTTCCTATTCTCTCTTGAGGCTGATGTTTGTTTAGTGTACTAGTATTTATTATGATGTTACTTTGTTCTTTCACCTTTTCCAGCAATTTGCCTCAAAAGTGATACAGACTATTAAATTTTATCTTTTAAAAAGTCAATATTTGCTGTGTGCTGGGATAGTGTCAGTTTGTGGTCTAGGAGAGAATAAGAATACGTGATTTGGTTTCCTCTACACTGCAAAGGTGATAAAGGATAATAATTTTCAAATTAATTCAGAGTAGCTTTATCGTAACAACTGTGCCGCCCCGTTGTTTAATTTTGTGGTTTAAAGTGTGGCAAATACGTAGCGTACCTAATTTACACTAAAGATGGATAACTGCAAATGATGAAATTTCCGTGGTGAATTACTGTTTATCAGCAGAATTTCCCTGACCTTTTGAACTGAAAACTTTAGCTTAAAGCACTGCCATCTGAAGCATTAAAAAGTAAACTTTGATGTTTTCTGGAAGACCACTGTACATCCATAGAAATGGCACAGTTGCCCAAGGGCAAGCAAGATCTGTGCTCAATAAATAATAATCTTTAAGCTACAGCAGAAAGAAATAGATCTGACACGTTCCACCTCGCAGATGCTGAGGAGTCAAGGTGTTACTGCCCTTCACTCACACCACTATGATTTGATAACTTGATTGTAAGTTGCTGCAGCTCAAATTTATAAACCTAGAGAAATTATAATGCAATTCTTTTTTATGCTAGATGTGTAAGAGTAGCTCTTAAAGCATTATTTTATTTTCTACTTAATTTAATGTGTTCTTCTACTACAGATTTGCAACAGTAGTCTTGGGTCTTGTCAGCTTGAAAAACGTGGCAGTTTCATTTGCAGAAACTGTTAAAAGCTCTGCACCTATTTTTACTGTTATCATGTCTCGGATGATATTAGGGGAATACACTGGTGAGTACTTCACTGCTGAAATGTGC